AGTGCCAACTATGTTAACGTCGCTTTCTCCGTTTACTTCTTTTGTTTTCTGTGATGGATTGCACATGTTTCCTATTTTGTCAGCTAACCCTAATTTTATCAGCTCTGCTTTTCGTTTAGTGCAGGTAATAAGAATATTCTTGGTACATTACATGAAAAAGTATCATCAAGTTTTATTTTTGCTAAAAAAGTATGATCATGTTTCTTATATAATCTAAAGTTTCTTTACGATATAACAACTGTAAAACTTTGTATACATTTAAAAAAAAAACTTTGTATACTTTTAAGATATGAAGCATTCTGGTTTAGTCCTGAATTGTTGTTTCTTTGTATTTTAGCAAAGTTTTAAACAGATTTTTATGACTATCATGACATGGGTTTGAAAAGTAGCTAATCAATAATAATCTACAGATGAGATAAATAATTTTTAAGTCGAATGAACTTGTTGTGTTTACTATGCTAATAAAAATTATGAAGTACGTTATCTCAACTGGAGTCTGGAGAAAAATCTTTCTTCAAAAAAAAACTGGAGAAGTATCAAAAATAGAGTTGACTATTCAAAATATTGAGTGATTTTTGAAAGGAAACAAAATTTTTATATTCACCTTATTAACCCTAGAGAAATTACTGGTTTCCAATCAAAACTTTCTCATTTTCATTAAAAATTGAATTACATATTTTATTCACAATTTGTGAGGGGAAGACCGAATATTCTAAACAAACTCTAAGGTCAAAGAAAATATTCGAGTGCACTATAGAAAATTTTGGATTGATTTGTGACAATACCCAACTTTTTTTAGGTTAGTGATTTTTGATTATTTTTGGAACGACAGCTGATAAATGCAGCACGTGTAAAATCAAGACCTTTTTGGGTTGTTAAGACTTGAGAGTTATATGGATAACTTCTGAACGTGCGTTACATGTAATCTACGGCATCACTCTATGCAAACATGTGCATCCTCTTAAGTTTTTTTGGTTTGTTTATCTTTGTGGTTAATGTACCCTACATGATAATCCCAAAAAAAGTTACTAAATCACCGAAATATTTACCTCTGTAACAAAATGCACACTTTTTAGGTTACTTGGTTATCTACTGAAATTTGGAGAGAACAAAACATATACATTCATTGGTTGATGACCGAACACCAAACAATAACAAAACGTCAAAATGTTATGTGTTTCTTAAATTATTTAATTCTTATAGTTTAGCATACCAGACCGCAAAAACCAAAGTATTATACTTTAACCTTCAGATATTAGTTGTGAAATGCTGTACTAGTTTTTTTTTTTTTTTTGTGTGTAAAATGATGTACTAGTTATTTTCATGGATTCGTTAAAAGCTATACATTTATGGGATAGTTGAAGTAGTTATTGTATCGTGTTAACACCGAAGCAAGTGGCTAAAAGTCTTAACAAAGTGTAAGTGTGTAACTTCTAATAATGCGATTCTTTTTAGAAAAAAAACTATATGGGAAAAGTGGAAAATTGATGAACATGTTTATCCTAGTTGTAAAGTGACTTTTAAGTATAATTAACTATTTTGGTAGAAGGGACTTTGGAAAATGACTTGTTCCTAACTTCTCTTTACAGATTGATTTTTTCTTTCTTTTTGCTTTATGTAGTGTGCCATATTTGTTTACGCACTTGGCTCTCATGTCCTCTTCCTTCTTATTGGTGCCCTTGTGCTCATCCGAAAGAGTATCTGATTAAGATAATCATACGTGTCGTGGAATGAGAAAGTCTTTCCTTTTTTAACATATGCTCATTAGAATTAAGCATTGGTTACAAGGAAATAAAACATTCATTTGGGAATTGGGACACTACATGAATTGGTAACTTCAATTAATTTGTACCACTTGGTAGAAGCTTATCGCATATATCATACACGGTGATAAATCCCAAAATCTTCTAAACCGTGACGAGTATTTTAAAATCATCTAAAATTAATAATATATATTTTATTATTATTTATAAAATTTATTGTAATAATTATATTATATTATAAAATATCATTTAAATAAATAATACTAATTTTATTATCTATAGTATGATATTGAATATGGTATACTATATATTATACTATATAAATTTAATATATTACTATAATTTCTTTTAAAATTTCTAAATAACAATTTAAGTGTTGAGTCACCTCCTATTTAGTGTATCATTTTTTGAAATTCCAAAACTTATGAATCTCACCTAATATACCATGTTGTCGAATTGTATTAGGGTTGAAACAAATTGCTCGATATTAATAAAGAAATAACTAACTAGATTGGTCGGTTTGTCTCTACAGAATTGAAAATCTCAAACTCAAGTTTTTTTTCCGATGAATATACAAATTAAAGAATTAAATGAGAAAATAATAAAAATGAAAATATTTTTTTTCCTACAACTTACAAAACTATACTTTAAAAAGTATGGTTGGTATAACTTTTTTTTTTATTTTTTTCAATTTTAACTTTACAAATTAATAAAATATGATTAGTAACATTTATAATTGTAGATAAAATTAAATTTAAAGTCATTTGATACATCACAACCAATCCACCCAAATGTAACTTTAGATATACGACATTACTACTGATGATGTCAATGTACTTGTTTGTTAAGATAACCTTGGACATCGAACACATATGACGTGCTTTTTTATACCTTGTACTCACCAGTCACCATATATAAGAAAATTTATGATTTTATTGTTTATTCAGGTCATGGTTATTTGACGAAATTTCTTGATAATATTAGAGTTAATTGGTCGTATTGTACAACTGTGGTAAAAATTGTACTGATTTCTGTACACTGAACATATCACTAAACAAAATTGACTAAAATTAATTATTTCCTTTCGGCAGCGATTAAAATACATTCCATACTTTCAATATTCCAAATCGCAAGGAACTGTTCACAAAATGCAGCAATATCTATTCTTGCTTTATACATTACATATACGAGTATGAGTACACTTAGTGATCTAAGTGCATAGAATAATAAGAGTGCGGCAGATTGTGATCAAGAAAGTGGAGAAAACTATTATGACAACAGATTCCATTAGCACAATGATTTATATAGATGGTGGAACCCTTTCTTTATTTTGCACATTTTTATATTACCACTTTCTTCTTAATGTGCAACTTTGAATGGACACAAACTCTGTTTACTTAATTTATTTACTTCGTGGAAAGCTCTTTACTTTACCCACCACTTGCTCTCTGTGGACCGTCGATGTTGCTTCACTAATCACTACCATAACCATTCTAAAATGTTCCATTATATATCTTTTAGCTTTTGCTTCTCTTCATGACTTTTTGTAACTATGGTTCTTCACATTTTCTAGTACTATTTTAGACATGAAATCTCGGTGTCATTACTCTAACAAAACCATGTTATATTCCTTATGAATGCATGTTAGATTACTAATGTGAATAATTAAAGAACATCGAGATATAGAATCATAGATGATATATGCATCATCATCTTTCTTTATAATATGATGTTCAACTACAACGAGTTCGTATGTAGTGCAGTTACATTAAAAAACTGACTTTGAATTCTTTGAATTAAATTAACCAACCAAATGTTCTTAAGCTGGCTCTGGTGATCTTGCAGGCAAAGTAGCTTTTCTGTGACTCCATGCACTCAACTGTCTGTCACTTCCTCGCCTTTTAGGCGGTGTTATGATCACGACTTGACTCACGTTCGTTAACTTTCTAGGTAACTTGCTGCTAACCAGTGCCGGTGAAGGGAGAATGGCCGTTGATGTTTCTTTCTTCTTTAGTTTTGCTTGATCCGCTAGATGATATCTCTGCAATGTTCAAGGTCAATGTATTAAAAGTACACTAATTCCTACAAATCTGAGACCTAATTAGTGTACTTGTACATCATAGGATAGGGCTTACTTTTGTAATTTCTTTAAATTTTGGCTTAAAACTATCTTTATTTTTGTATTTCTGTATATTTTGTAAAAATTTAAAATGGGCCTTTAATCCTGTAAAATATCTTGGGATTAAGAAATGGCCCACTTTTGTCCTAAGCACCACCTTTTTGCTACTTAAAATATGATTGTGAGTAATCATGTTACATTGTGCTCATGCTTCATGGGGTCTTACCAAATTCTGAGACTTGTACTAGAAACTAACACAACATTTAGGTTATTATGGTATCTTTGAAAATGAAAACCGTTAGCAAGAAGAAGAATCACCTGAACCACAAAGTTGCGTCTTTGGCAGTCTAGAAACATACCCACATTCCATTTTGTTCTTGCAGAAATTTTGTCTCTTACTGTTGAAAAACTGATTTGATCTCTAGAAGTGAAGCGATCAACTTCATTGAACCAAAGACAAGTAAAGAGATTACTAATTGGAACGTGCTCTCTTAAAATGACACATCCTTCTGGTACATCTGCATATCCACCACTACATCTCACTGAAATATTTGATTATTAGATTATAATGTTTTAAGAAAACATGAATCTATACCGCTTGTGATTGGGAGCTTGGCAGTAGAATAAGGTGTTAAACCTTCTTTCTTGTAGAAATCCACTTGAAAATCTATTGATGCATTGTCATATTTACCCGCAGCTTTATTTGCTTCAGCTTCCACAAATACATCAAACCGTTTGTAATGTCTAGAGATTGCAAATGTAACATTCTCCCTCCACAAGAACCTAAGTAAAAAGTGGTGAATGTAAGATTATGGCGTGGCAGAAATATAGTCACAGAAACTGATGAGTTCAGAACCTCTCAAGAATTTGATGTGGATCGACCACAAGGTCCAGCTTCCCATCCATCCATATAGAATACCGAGAGTTCGGAAACAGCCTATGAACAAGAAGCTTTGGTACCTGAAACAAGAAAGATCATAACCTTTCATATCCAAAAGATAGATTACTTGTGTTTTAAGTTACCTTTCCGTTTCGTCTTCCATCTGTATAAGGAAGGTTATGAACAACAACAACTCTCCATAACCCTACTTTCTTGGTGGTTTTATTAAAGCTTTTATCTCTCTTCAAGCTTGATTCGGTTTTCTCATCAATAAACATGAAGAAACAAACCGTTAGCTCCGAGTATTTACTAATATTGCTAGGGCTCTTCACATCATCAAAAGCATCTGAAGAAAATTAAGATAACTTCTTCATCAGATACCTTGAGAAACAAGAAAAGAGACTAAAATGAATGGAGTATTAAAAAGTGACCGAATACTGTTGAGACAACAACTATCCCTCGACACCGTTTCATCTCAAGACGATCTTTCTCATTGATATCGAATCCTGTTCCTCTTCCAGGTTCAGGTCCTTTGACAAATCTAGTTAAAAAAAGAACATTGTAGATTAGTCCACAGAGGAAACGTGACAAGCACTCAAGAGAGATACACTTACCCACAATGCACACTCATTGTTTCTTTGATGTGAAAAGATCTTCTTCTCTGTTTCAAAGTCGGATAACCGCCAAAATCTGAACCTCCAAACTCTGTTTTCCGGTTAAGTGGCTTCTCATGTATATATGTTAAATTCTTAAGAACAGGGGAAAATGACGGTGAGCTTGGCATTAACGCTATTGCTTCTTCTAATGGAAGGTAACAAACCGGACATGCTGCACAAATCAAAAACAGGAAAGAACAGTTCGCTTACACGTGAAGCCGAATATATAATAGCTTAAAAAATCAAGAGAGAGAGAGAGAGAGATCTTACGGCGTGGTCCGGTTCTTTTCTTGTCAGCTGGTGGAGGAGGTAACGTGAACTTGTTACAGGGATGATCTGGAGGAAGTTTATAGCCTCGAAAATAAGGAGGAGGACGAGGCCGATACGCTTTTGCAGATTTTACAACGTAAGATAAATTGTTATGGATGTTTCTTATTTGCTCTTTATTTTTACTGTCACTGTGAGGAACTTCAATTTTCTGACCAACTTCACCTGATTGCAACCAAAATAGAGAGATTGTAAAGGCAGTTGGCAAGAACCGAAATCCACATTTTGATTACCCTAGAGGCTTCGGAAACCCTCAAGCAGATTCATGTAAAGTTTCAATAAAACTATTAGTGAAAGTCACTTGATAAGGTTATTTTTAGACTTTTAATGCATCGGTTTAAGTTTGATCCGTGTACGACATTTTAACTTCACTTAATCTCTCACATCTTCCCCCAAATTGTTTATTCTAGTGCAGATAAAAAAAAAAACAAAGCCGATTTATTATCATTTTTTTTTTATAGAAGTTGCATCAAAATGTGTAAGAAAACCGATGAGGATTGACAAAGAATGCAAGACCATCACGTTTGAACCAAACGAATGGGTTTACTGCACATGTAGTCAGAAATGATTTCCAATAAGAAGTCAAAAGTTGTTCCAAGAGGAAACGGTGGCTTTGGGGTTTTGACTTTTGAGGGTATATATAATTTAGCAATAATTTTAATAAAATGCATTTTTCAGTAGTCTTGGAGGCGATGTAGTTTATGTATATTCTCTTAAAATTCTGGGATCTAAAACAAGTGTTTCATATGGTTATGCTCAAAACCGGCCTAGTGTATGGTTTGGTTTTGTTGAAATATATCCATCAGCAGTTTTATAGTTATGATTATCCTATACTCTAATTTTTTTTTGGAGAAGCTTAAAATGAAGAAGAAGAGAAAAGAGGTTCTCCAAGTATTGAGCTAAAACTGAAACATAAGCTATAAAACCTCAAATCACCATAACCACACAACAATCAGACAAAAGTGACTTACCATGAAGAAGATGATGAATAGATATTTACAATTTAGCAAAAAAAAAAAAGAAAAGATGATGAATGAATATGGTATTTAAAATAAAGCGACTTACCATGCCAGACGTAAAGGACGCGAATGAAGACAAGAGTGGAGATTATGAAAAGAATCTTCTTACGACGTCCTACGAATTTAAAGATCCAACGTACAACGTTTTCCTTCTCCTTATACATCTTAGATGGCTTCGAACGCGTTATTGTAATCGTGTGGGTTGGCAAACCAACGCCATTATACCCCATCTTTATTAAAACGATACCAAATTTTTGAATTCACAGTGGTATGCTCTAGGATTAGAGAAGGCAGATATCATCTTTTTTTTACTCAACAATTTCGAATTTAAGGAGGTTTTTACTAGGAAATTTGGAACAATGTATTTAAGTACGATTAGTTGTCTGTTTCTTCTGTGTTCAAAAAAAAAAGAAGAAGAAAAGTTGTCTGTTTCTTCACATAACTAACAATTTAATGAGAAAGTAAATTATTTTACAGGAAACTGGCTGTTTATGTCTGCTGTGACGTGGACATTTTAACAATAAAGAACCAATACTATACGCTTATATATACATCCATATAATTCAAAAGGTTATCATATCATACATCTATAAATTGCTTCAGTTAAATCATGCTTAGTTCATGGAGTTTTATCTAAAAAGGGATTAAAAACCTTAGTTTAGAAAAAAACTATCCAGTATTGTATGAATTACTTTTATCAAATTTGTGTATTGGAGTTAAGCCGGTTACTTGTTGTACTTAGACATCACCTAAGCACCTTCAAGTTATAAAATAGATTTTGACACACTTTCTGTTTCGTGCTTCTTTTGCATTGCAAATACTAAATAATACTCCCTATATTTCGAATTAGATGTCATTCTAGAGAAAAAATTTCGTTTCAAAATAAGTGTCGTTTTAAAGTTTTGAGACAAAATTTATTAGGTTTATATGATATTATATTTTTCTATTGGTTGAAAAGTGATTAGGTGTATTGGTAATTGTGTTTTTATCTTGAAAATATGTAAAATTAAATATTTCTTTAATATATTTATAAAAATCTAGAATGACAACTAAAATGAAACGGAGGGAATAATTTTCATTAGGCTTTTAGCATTTAACACCATCGTGGCATTATAAGGCATCAAAATTTGTGCCAGAGAAATTGTGCCGAAAAAAAGAGGCATCAAAATCAAATTATAATTATTTTGTTTCCTATATTCACTTTGGTTGTTATAGTTTTTTTTTTTTTTTTTTTTGTCAGCCGCCCATCTAAAGCTCTATCAAGTGGTGATCAGACGAGTCAATCCTCCTATGAGTATCTCCGTCTGGCCTGGTCTGATCTATATGGGAAAAAATAGATCATTTTCTTCTCGCCTCTTTAGCTAATTCATCCGCTCGACCATTCATACTTCGAGGAATATGAGAAAGCCTCATATCGTCAAAGTCTTCCTGTAATCTCTTAAGTCTCTCGATCTCTGTTATGAAGGTTGGCCATTCCTCCGGATTAGTAGACATGTCTACTAGGTCCGCGCAGTCCGTCTCAATCCTCACCGATTTGATCCGCAAGTCTCTCAAACATGAGACTGCCAGAGTAGGCCTTCCATCTCTGCATGCAAAGCTGAACGACTTCTCCTGCACGCCCGTTGTCCGACCCACTCATAACCCATTTGATCTTTAAGACTCCACCCTAAGCCACTGACGCTACCATGATCGATCCATGATCCATCAATTTGACAGGTCGGGGTTCGGGGATTCCCAGTGGGTTTTGTCGCGGTCTCCAAAGAGGGAGATACCTCAAAGGCCTCGTATTTTGGCTGATTATATAGATGTCCTGATCACTCAGCGGCTTTAGCGACTTGTTTCGTTTGTAAAAATCTAGAGTAGAATGTAGAATTACTCCATAAAAAATATCATATGCACTAGTATATAATAGCCAGAGTTTAAAAATTTGTATTAAAAAGCGCTGTGAATAAATGCAAATCAACTCAAAAAAATCAAAAGAGAGTAAAATGTATTAAAAATATTCATTTAAAGTTTGTATATTATTACGTGAATTAATAACTTTACAATTACTTGGTCCGTATTTATAGATGTCTTAAAACCTAATTTTTTTATCAAAAAAAAGTAAGATGGTTTTATTCAATCTTGTATTTTAATAAAATTTAAATCTAAGAAAATTCATCATATTATTCGCTGATGATTCTAAATTCTATTTTACTAGTGTTATTGAATATAGTATTTATAAGTCTTATTTAAAATTTGGTGTTATTCAAATGAATGATTTAAATATTGTATTTAAAATTATGTGTTATTCAACTTGAAAGATTTTTTTTTTAAATTGTATTTAAAACTGATTTCAAATCATTGATTGTGGATTCTCAAGAACAAACTATAAAAATCAAAATTCAATGCATACTACCAAAATTTTAAAATCTACCAACTAAAGCTATCTTAACATTTTAAATTTTAATTGATTACAAAACGTTAGAAATTGACTTTAAATCCTCGAATGAATAACACCCCTTAAATTTTCCTAAATGAATACTGATTTTTATTAGTTCATAAAGATTTAAGACATTTCTAGGTGCAGTAAATAAAAGATAACACATAAAATCGATAGAAACAGCTCAATATCGATGAAAGATCTTTACCAAACAAAGAAAGAACCAGAACATACACTTTCGTATTTAATTAGATTGATTTCAAGTTTCAACGATTTAATCTATATGCAAAGTCTTTTAAAAAGAAGTTCAGTACAAATATCTACTGTTTTCCTTGTCTATATCACGCCTATTGATTCCAACCATCTACACAAACAGACACCCACAAATTATGTGGCAAAAAGCTTCTCTTCTACGTCGGTTTGTTTCTTTTTTCTCACATCGATCCACTTCAACCAGCATTTCGTATTTTCACATGTTCATCTAAAATTGGAAAAATGATTATTTAGGGAGACATCTATATATTAGAGATGCAAACATATTACCAAATATTTTCATAAAAAGCCTTACTCCTATGAGATTACTTCGGCTTGGTATTCGCATTTGGATTCGTATAGTGCAATATATATGACTTTCATACACTACAATAAGTCATAAGATGCCATTTTTTTTTAAATAGTTATTAGTTTATAACCGACTTTAAATTTTAAATATGAAGCATTTTAACGTCGTTCTTATTACAACATATCTAAGAGATGTCACTATCCTATGAATCCTCTCTACCACTTTTAGTTTTCATTATGTCCCCAGAAATGTAAACCGTTAGAGTTTCAGAAAAAAAATGTAAACTGTTAGGTAGACAAGCTTGCAATATTAGCTAGACAACCATGAACGCTCTCTTTGTCTTATGTTTTATCTTGGAAATTTTAGTTTGTGTGATCAAACTTAATTAATTAGAATTTCGGAAAACTTAGGTTGTGTCACTGTATAGTGTTAGATATGATGTGTTATATATATGTATGTATCTGTGTGTGTGTTCACTTGCTATATCAACTATGTATATATGTAAGTACAAAGAATTTTATTGTAGAACACGTTTAAGAAGTAAAAAAAGATTTGGTAGAGTTCATATATGTAAAGGGAATATAGCCGAAGAGAGAGAGAGAGATTAACATAAACCAAGAAGTGGATACAACATTATACCTTAATGATCTTGCCACATTAATAAAAAGTTAAAAACATGCATCAATTGACAAAGAAGAAACAGAAAACTGAGACCAGTAAGATCAATCAAATAGGAAGAACCATTCCCTTTTTCAAGACTCTTTCTCCTTACCTTTCCTTTGTCTCTCCCTCCTTGTGTTTCCCTTTCTTTGGCTTGATGAAACAAAAGCACGAGCAACAAGGCAGCTGAAACAAAAACTTCATCTTGATTTAGCTAGAATGGGACCAACACCACATTGATGTCTGCCTTCTAGACTTGATCAGCTTTTATAGCAATTGATATTATTCTTTTCCAATTCCAATATTCAGCTTCTTTGTGGGGTTTCCTTTATTCGTTTCTTCTTTTGGATGCTTTTCAAATTAAGTTGATTCCCCCTATATAATAAGATGCCTCTGTCTTATGCAAAATCATAATATTATAATCTGCAAATGTATAATAACCATGGTCCGCGCCAGGATCAGGATCCTATCTGTAAATCTATCGACTAGAAATAAAAGGAAAGGTATTTTTAAAGAAAATAAACCGCCATGTGATTATTTTTAGCTGCTAATGAACAGTAACCGATAATAATTTTGACATGTGCAACAAAAATGTTAGTTTCAATGTTTAATATGTTATTGATACAACTTAATATGTTATTGATATTATTGTGCAACAAAAAACTTCAATGTTTAATATGTTATTGATACAAAAAAAAATGTTATTGATACAATTTTCATTGTTTAAAGTGTTAGTTGATGAACATCAAGGTTTAAAGTGTAATCGATTTTCCCAAAAATATAATAAAAGTGCATCATTTTTTTGTGCACAAATTATATAAAACTTAAAAAAGCCTCGGGCAAAGTTTAGCCCAAAGTTGGGTCAAATACAATGTTGAATGTTGACGTATAACGCAGAGAAATTATTAGTATTAACCGCTGGATTATGTACATGCACTGATCCACCTATTTGTAGGTGCGAACATACATGTGCAAAAGAGACATAGATGCATGCAGCATGCTGGAAGTAACTCCTCAATTAACTCGCGGGCTTCCAACCTAATTCGAACATTTTAATTGAATGAATCCCTCCCTACAAGAGGAGTGCCACAAATAAAAGATAATAAAGTTAAACTAAGAATCAATCAACAAAAATACTTAACCACAAAAATAAAAACCAAACATAACACTCTGCTTCACCTTTTTCATCGTCAACAAAAGCATCACTCATGTCTTCTTTTTCAATACCACTTCTATTTTATCCTTCCTTTCACAAGGAAGGGGGTATAGAAGAAATAAATAACCATCTCATCATCAAACAACACACAAAGAAAACCAAATGGGTATCAAGTTCTTGCTGATCCTTATCCTCTTGACCCTAGCCGTAGTCACTGAATCTGCCAATGCCATGACCAAATCTTGTGCCAGTGGCCAAGGTTGCATTGGAGACGATGATGAGCTCGAGTCTATGATGGATTCTGAGACCAACCGGCGGCAACTAGCTGTAAGGCGCGGACACATTGGTTACGATGCACTCAAGAAGAACAATGTGCCATGCAACCATCGTGGCCGGTCTTACTACGATTGCAAGAAGAGGAAAAGGGTAAATCCTTACAGGCGTGGCTGCAGCGTCATCACGCATTGCTACAGGCACACTTCTTAATTTGAAGAAGCATATATATTTATATATATATATATATACGAACAACATGATTAGAAAAGCGAGAGGGAAAATAATGCAAACAGAAAAAAAAACACCAGTTTCTTATACTTACGGTTCGTGACCATTTTTAATCTTGATATTACCCCCCTTTGCTATTAATTTTTTTTTCCTTTTATTTATAATCATGATGCATACACTTCTATCTCGTATGTTGTTCTTTTATATGTACTGATAAATCGTCTGTGTTTTGTTTGTTCTACAATTATGTAATTAAATGATGTTTCTAGACCTTGCGATTTAGGTTAAATATTAAACTTGTATGTAGTAGAAGATACGAAAGTAAATGGAGTTGGGAAAAATATGGAATTGTAATTGTTGACGACGATTGCATTCTATATATCTGTGAAAACTGTTTACGTTTTTTAAAATGGCGGAGTTGGTCTAAGGCGCAGGACTAAGGTTCGTATCAGAAATATTACCCAACTAATGGAGTTGATAATGATTTTTATCAGTGATGGCTGATGATTCTATTATTCAGCAGATTCATTCCATTTCATAGGTTATGTTAGAGCATGTTTAATGCATGCTGCTCAGGAGGAGAGGAGTGCTTAATTTGAAGAGAGAAAATGTGAAAAGTGCTTAAAAATGTTTAATTAAGCATTTTTCACACTCTCTTTCTTCAAATTAAGCACCCCTCTCTTTCTAAGTAACTCTCTAAGCAACCTCCATTAAACATGTTCTTATCGTCAACATCCACAAAAATTAGGCGAGAATAAAAAGAGATAAGTCAATATGTAAACGCTAACGTTTTTATTCAATAGATAATTAGAAATACATTAATTAAAAGCCCATATAAAGAAACCCAAGCTGATACATTCAACACAATCATTATTAAACTGTGTTCAATAACCCATAATCAAAGTTTCACTAGCTATTATTGAATAAAACCATCTCATTTGGGGCAGATAGGCTCGAATGCAAATGGACCAACGTTGAAAAGACCGTACTTAAGCTTGTTGAAGATGATCGTTGCATTTTCTGGTTTCACCACCGGCTTTAGATAGGCGCCCATGTTTCCACCGTGGAGCGTTGACACTTTGCTGCATTTAGCGTCAGGTGACTTAACTAGGTAAGCTCGGCAAGTTTTGATGGCGTAGTTGCTCACGGTTTTAGGGGCATATAGTAGGAAGTATCCATTCTTGTCCGTGGTTGCCTCCGATGTCGCGTTCTTCTTGTTTTTGCACAAAAGTCTCACCACCGCACCTGCATACATAAATAACAGAAACAAAATAAAAGTAAATAACTAGTATTTGTGCAGATTTGTTAAACGGACACCAAAAACAACTCAATAGCTCGTGTTAACCAAACTAATTTATAGTATTTATGTACCTTTATCGATTTGAAAACAATAATTTGGGGGCATATAGAACAACATAACAAGTTTTTTTAACCAGTTGAGCACTTGAGCTAAAGTTGACAATATGGGAGATAAAGAGAAAATATGACATGGGTCCGTTGCATTTGATTGTGTTCACCAAAAAGATTATTGTTAGTCACAAACACATTTTAACTGATTCACTATTTTAACTTAGTTTTCTACACTTATGGGAAATATATGTTTATCGATTTTGATTTTCATGAAGGGACATGAACTAATCTAGAGTGGTAATATATAATTAACAGTTTAAACAAAATTATGAACATTTGCCAGAATTAAAACGTATAGGATAAAGTATGGGACGTGAAGAGTGGACTGTCCATATCATTAGTGTATAGTATATAATACCTTTAACGGGTTTGGCGCCTTGGAGATTGTTTACGCCGGCGTACTTGCAGGCTTTGCAGAAAACCACACCTCGCACAGCCACTAGTGTCCTGATGAACTTAGGAGGAGAAACCGGTGGGAGAACCGGAGGCTTGATCGGAGCTTTGGTTGGTGGGAGTGTTGGTAGCTTGATTGGAGCTTTAGCTGGTGGGATAGTTGGTAGCTTGATCGGAGCTTTGGCTGGTGGGATAGTTGGTATCTTGATAGGAGCTTTGGTCGGTGGGAGAGTGGGCAATGGTGATATTAGTTTCATTGGAGGTGGAGCTGCAGTACTGAAAACAGAGGAAATGAAGCAGCAAAGTGCTATGAGAGTTAGCAAAACACTCTTACCAATGAAACCCATCTTTATCTTCTTGTTTTTGTTTGTGTGTGAGTTTTGGTTACTGTGAGAGGGTGTATTTATAGGAGACTTCAGGTTTCAAGTATTATATTTATATACTTCAGTAGAGTGTTTTGTGCGTAGGTAGATAACACTATTCCACACTACCACATGCACACGTCTCGCGAGGTATTCGGGAAGTTTCCGATGCCTTTCGTTAAAGATTTAGATCTCCTTACACTTTTCAATACCTTTTTTTTTATTTGTTAACCTGCTTTCATTACTTATATTTTGGCATTTCCCTAAACGCAAGTCTTAGTGAACCATAAGTCTAGACAGTGTCATTGATTTGAGAGTTTATAAGAATTTGAAGAAAGTGTTATCAGAGTTTTGAGTCATATGTGTAAAGATTTCTTATGATTCGTACTATAGAGTTTACGAGAGTCGATACAAAAGAATGGGATTACGAGAGTTGATTGAAGTTGTGATCATTTACAACTGTAATTGGACTAAAAACTACCAAATTATTTTATGTAAAAATTAGGTATAATCTTAAATAAACTTCTTGGTTGACTAAATTAGTGTTGTTTTCAGGTTTCAGCAGAAATATATGGGATATAATATTAATGCATGAGTTTTCATTCACGTTCCATGTTTTATGCTTCATACATGTGCATGGCAACAAGATGCGCCTAGTGCGGCTTCAACACATTACACATTTAAGTTCAAACTTAATATATACGCTTCTTCTGTTTACTTTGGTTTTACGATTTACAGTACAATATACATGCAATCCATTAGAGTTTAATAGAACCACCAAATGATAACTATATAGACACATTATATGATAAAAAATGTTAAAACATACTTAATAATATAATTTTCTGAAATTTGTTAATGGTTATCTCACATTAATATTATTTGTGTCATTTTTAATATTTCCATATGATGTCTAATACCGACAAAACACAATACTTACCGATGAAAAAGTTTAAATCTTCCTACAAAACACAGCAATTTTTATTTTTGAAAAGTAATTTAACTGACACTGAGACCATATATACAATATATGAAAATCATATGATGAACATTAGGGATAATATCGTATATATTTTATGAGCAAATGAAAATATTTTTCATTAAATTATTTTACATTTTGTTTATATATTATGTATTTTGGTGTAATTTTTATTGTTTAAATATATGTCATATATTAGTGTATTATTTTTGTCATTCATAACTATAATAAATTATTTGATTTGCTTTCAACTATATTAATCCTACATGATCCGTTTGATATACATTTTTCTTGCAAGATCTGCTTGATCTTCATTTCTTCTACAACTACTTGATTTATATTTGTTCCACTTGATTTGCATGATCCACTTGAACTATTTTTACCATTTGAAGTCTTCAACTCAAAGCAAGCGATCAAAGATGAACTGTTCGCTGCGGCTGCATAGCAAACAACACTATCTATGCAGACCCACTTACATGATGAAGCCTCACGGATAATTTCATTATCCTCAACTGCAAGATCACGTCCCTCATTACGAGTTTATACACATGTTTCTAGAGCTGCTCGGATGTGGGATGCAATAGTTGACCTTCCTCCAAGACTGGTTATTGGCTCCTAACATTAGCACTCGGTGATCTACTGAGATCCGATTACCACCTTCAACCTTGAGGCTTGTCATCAAGTCCTTTTTGAATGGTTGCGAATTTTGTTAGCTTCATTGAGTAACTTGGCCACCTTTTTAGATTCTTGATCAATGAAATTACTTCTTTGAAATCTCAGCCGAAATGCTGGCATGTAGAATGTTCTGACATATTCTCTATCGCTCAAATGAGGACTCCTAGTTCCGAATGGATCAGAAACAATTGTCTTTCTCAACCACAAGATAGCGATTAATATTTGTGATATTTAAAATTTTACAAATTTATGGTTTGTGTTATATGTATTATGGTGTCAAACCATTATCCGGAATTTAGTCCTAAGTAATCTCATTATAATAAGATTTCATAGTGATTTAAAACTGTATTATATATAATTTAAATACTTTTTTAATCAAACATTTAAAAAAAAAAATGTCCATTAAAGTGGCAAAATCTCTTCAAAAAATTAAATGTTTAATTCAAAATCTTTCTTTCACCGATTATTTCAAAAGTAACTTTTGGTCTAATGGAAGTCGACTAATTTCAAAAGTAACTTTTGGTCTAATGGAAGTCGACTAATTTCAAATTTCTACACCTAATCTCACATAATACAATTTGAATTGAGTGAAGTTTTCATGGACATTTTTAAGACATGCATGGCATATATAAAGTACATTACAAATTGAGCAATAGAAATAACAGTAATTTCATTATTTTGGGCCACAACGGGCCAGTAGCACATTAGCCCAAATATAGTAATTCTGTTACCAAAAATTTGAAAAAAATTGTTAGCCAAAATTTGAAAAAAACACTTAACTGATCACTGATCACTGATCAGCTACTAACAATATAGAGTTGAGAACGAAACTGAAATTCAAATTTCAAAATCTAATTGAAATCCACAGGAGAGAGCAAACCTTTCTCACTAACGATCTCTCTTCAGTTCTCTCTCTCTCGTCGGTCTATCAGCAATGTCTTCCACCAGAAAGAGCACCAAGAGAGCACGCCCGGAGCCGCCGCAATCGCTCAAGAAGCAAACACCGAACGCAAAACTCCACGATGACTTGGATCTCGACGTTTCTAGGTCCGTTTTCTCCTTCTTCTTCTCTAATTTTAACCTAGATTGTGACTCACCATTGATTTCCGTGTGGATCGTGCAGCGATCTCAAAGGAATCATGTCGGCGTTGCAGCAAATCAGAGAGAAAGCGCACGAGGATGGCCGTAAGAAGAAGGAAGAAAGCATCTCCAGGTGATTCATCTTATCTCTCTCTCTTTCACTAATTAGTTTCATCACGGAGAGGAATCAGAGTTCGATAATATCTCCGTGAACTTCGATTTAATCTACTAGGCATCTTAATCATTGTTGCTAGCTTCGATCGTTTCTTATGCTTGTTATCGATCTTGGTTTATGATATAGGCTGATGATCACTATGTGTTCGATCGTTTGTTGAGTTTGATATCGATTGATCTATTATTTGTGAAAGTGATTGTGATATGCTTGTGGATAATTGAACGCAAGTGTTTGATCGGTGTCGTTTCATTTGTTTCCAGCATTTAGAATTCGTTTGATTTCACATACAGGGAACGTTTGAATCTCTTGTTGATTCCTATCATTGATTTGGTGTCTTGTATTATGATCTTGTGATTACTTGTTTCAGAACGACAAAATTATTGTGAGAAATCTTTGGTTTTGAATTTTGGTCATGAAATTTGTTTTCTCCACAAGACTTTGGTTCTAATGCTCTTCAAGTGTTGTTAGTTTTGAAAGCTGGATCTTGCTTTAATCTTTGTGTATCTTTCTTCTGGCAGCGTGTCTACTGAGGTGAAGTCAAAGATCGATGAGTTGAAGTCAAAACTTGAGAAAGAAAGGTAAAAGGCTATGTTGCTGTTGATGGATATCTGATATTTTCCATGCTTTGTGAATTTGTTTACAAGATTAAGATAAGAAATGAAAGCGTACTGATGAGTTTTATCCTTGACTTGTAGACAAAACTTTGCTAAAGCACTCACAAAGAGTTCAAAGGAGGTTTGAAGAAAACAAAGAACTAAAGATGATAATTTAACTTTTCGAGTCATTAGAAACGTACAAGGAACTGACGTCTGGTTCGTTTTTGCAGTGTGAGAGTATCTTGAGGGATGAAGCTGCCAAATTTGAGGAGCTTCATCATAAGTTCATGAAGGAAAAATCTGATCATCTACAGGGTCTGAAAGGTATGCATTGTATCTCCCTCTGGTTTTGTCATCTCTTACCACTACAAAGTTATCTTAGATTAGCTAAAATGGGGTATCATATTACTGAAATCTGACAAAAATCTTAAATTAGCTCATGTGTTTCTGCTTGCCAGACATTGTTTCCAAGTTTGAGGAGGACAAGGAGAGGCTCTATATGCGATATGAGCAACTAAGTAAGCCAATACATCTATAATGAGACCACTGTTATAAGACAGCAACACCTTTACTCACTTTCGACATGTAAAACAACATATAGGGAAGAAGGAGAAGACAATGATATCGGATCAGGAGAAGTTCTGCACAGAAAAGCTTGCTCAATTGGAAGAGTCGCTGAAGAAAAAGAAACGGGTAAATAAATAGCCTTAAATATATTTGTTACCTCTCTCTGTCTCTCTTTTATCATGTTATCTGATGAACCATTGAACCGTGAATTCTTGGGGGTGTAGGGTGACAAAACGTTCAGCATATTGAGGAAAACTCTCGGCTCTTTTCTGGAGAATGAAGCTTCTGATGAGGAGTTCCCACCTGATGAGTAAATCATTTACGTCTCTTCACTTGACGCTACAAGAAAGTTAAAACCCCTTTGACTTTGATCCAGCCGTACGTTTCTTTATATCTTAATTTCACAGATATCGTTCAGTATTTACCAAATATAGCAGAAAACACTATTCTGAAAAGTAGTATTTCAAATCTTTCAATATTGTGAACATGAACCTTAATGTCTTCTATGATATGTTATAGTTTGAAATGAAAGATTGATTACATTTTTAGTAGGATCCACCATTATTGGTATCAAACTAGTATCATGGTCGTTTAACTAGTAACAAATAACAATAGAAAAGAGTACCAAACACTAGCTGTTTCGGGCTAAAGTACTTTACATTTCACTTATCAAACACTAGCCATCTTCCACATTTGATATGGGTAACGTATGGCGTATCTTAAACCCAAGTTATGGAGCTTTCTTACAATCTTCAGTCTTCATTTCCATTGTTCTGGTCGCTCTCAAACTATGAATGACGGACGAATGTACTATTGTCCTAAGTGCAAGTTCGATTTCCACAAGGAATGCGTAGAGCCGCCCTCAGAGATCAACCACCCTTCTCATCCCGCACATCCTCTCGAGCTCCTTTGGTGCAGACCACCTCGTTATAGTGGTGAAAGTTGTTGCTTGTGTGGAGAAACCATTCAGCTTTTGGTTTATCGTTGTTACACTTATAACTTTAGTTTAGATACAGCTTGCATCAGAAAGCAAGAGATCTCAAGCATTGATCACCCGAGAAACCCATGAACCTAGGCTTAATAACCTCCTGTAGTAGATCTGGTCCTGTGGTGAACTTTTAAAGAAGAAGAAATGATTGATATTTCAAAATAAACACATAATCTCATGAATTACAACACGCCTCTTGATTTTACACGAATCTCATTTCAACATTGGAAAAACAAAAGAGGGTGAAAATGTTATAAAATGGGAAGAAGATGAGTTTCTCTCACTTCCAGAGCTCTTCCATGGGGATTCCACGCTCGAGAGCAACATCCTTGAACTGTCTCATCTGTTGAACTGCTGCAAGAGTGGCTCTAGCGTTATTGAGAGCATTGTTGCTACCCAGCTGTTTCCCCAAAGCGTTCTCAACTCCTGCCATCTCTAACACGATCCTAACCGCTCCTCCAGCAATCACACCTGTACCTGGCGAAGCTGGTCTAAGCATCACCTTGGCTGCTCCGTAATCTCCCTCTGATCTATATAACCAAACAACCACACAGCTTAAAACCAATCAAACCAGCTATAACATAACAAAAACATAAAAACACAGAGACATACAAAAACAAATACCATAACAAACACATACCATCACATTCAAACATACAAAAACCAACACAGAGACATACAACCATAGCATAGATTCAGAAAACATCATAAGCAGCACATACATGACCAAAACATACCAAACTCAACACAGAGACATACACAAACACAACCATTACTGCTCAATCAGTAAACCCACAATGCAGAACAAAAAAGCTACTTAACTGCCTATTGAGACATTATCATCAAACCAAACACCATTCTTCTAAAGCACAAAAACACAACACAAACATCAAAAAAAAAACCAAAACTTAATTACCTGTGAGGGAAAGTAAGATACTTAGTCATAGGCACTTGAACAATATTCCTCCTAGCATCAATCGCACTCTTCTGAACAGCAGCAACAACCTCCTTAGCCTTAGCACAACCAACACCAACATTCCCTTGCTTATCTCCGACAACAACAATCGCCCTAAACTTCAACTGCTTCCCTCCTTTCACAACCTTAGTCACCCTCCTCACCTGCACAACCCTCTCCTCAAACCCATCCCTTATCTTCTCCTTCTTCGGCTTCTGCCCACCGATCCCACCTCCTCCTTTCTTCAACTTCGAGTCCATAACATTAACGTCCTTCCCAAGCATACTCTCTCCGCTATACGCAGGCCCGTAGAGCTCCTCGTACGCCGTGGCGATCTCTGTCTCCGTCTCGTCGGTTCCTTCGTCGAAATAAGGAGCGGGGACGAAGCCTTCGGGAGGGGAAGGAGGGTCGAAGACGGCGTTGGCGGTTATCTCCGGGTTTTGGTCTTCGAAGAAGATGGTTTCGGTTTGGTCTGAGGAGGAGGCTTTGAGGGGGGTGAGAGAGGTGGGGCGTTTGGGGAAGGAGGAGAAGGAGATGATGGGTCGAGAGGAGGTGATGCGGGAGGTTGTGTTGTGGAGGGAGAGTGAGGAGAGGGAAGAGAGAGCTGATGTTGTCGCCATTGAGGATGAGGGGGAAGCGAGATGAGTGAAGAGAGGCTTATCCGTAGCAGTAGAAGAAGAAGATTGAAGAGAACTGTTTTTAGTTACATCTTTTGGTTTTTACAATTTGGCCCCAGTATATTTAAGAAATTAACATTTGACCCCTTGTTCAGTAACTTAAGGGCCTTTTGTTCGAAATGGGCCCGTTAGAGAAGCCTTTGTTTGTTTTTAATTTTCAGCCCATTAATGGTTTATGCAGAGTTGTGAAACCCAGCTTCTAGGAGTCTAGGACTAATGGTTGTAGATGATTTAGGATGAGGTTATGGTTGGTTAAGGTTAGGATGCATATATGGGTCACTAACATTCATAACAGAAATGATCAATCAGCAAATTATATAGTATTATCTTCAACCTCCCATAGTACATACAGTAGAAACTCTATAAATTAATACTCGATAAATTAATATACACTTAATATCTCTATAAATTAATATAATTTTATAATCCCAAATTGAATTTTTGATTCAATTAGTATATCTATAAATTAATATCTCTCTAAATTAATAAAAAAATAAAAATTTGGTGTAGTTTCAACATTATTAATTTATAGAGGTTTCACTGTACTGTATTCAAATGTTTTCAAAACTTGAGATAAACTATTAAGCCAAAAATATTGGAAATGATTCGTTATTTTTAGAAATTTTGTGTGTTTTCAACAATATAATTTACACGGCTTCAGAAAAAAAGTTATCTCAATGTTCCTTTTCGATGGTAACTAATTTGAGCTGCATACAGTTATAATATTAGTCGAAAAAATATTTGTCTTAATTGCACTGATTTTAAAAGTATGTTCTGCAAGGCTAAAAGGTGGCAAAATTGCACTTCTTTGGCTGGGGTATTTACTGTTCTGTCCCAATTTGAAAAATTCTCGGGGCTTGAAGTAAATATGTCTAAAACTTCAATGTTCTCATCGGGCCTTTCAGCTCAAGTGCAGCATAATATTTTGAACAAGTTTAGGCTTCGATCTCATGAGCTTCCTGTGCGATATCTAGGTTTGCCTCTATGCTCAAAAAAATTGTCAGTTCGTGACTGTGATCCTATGCTGGCTCAAGTTAGGAGGAAACTCAATGGATGGATGCATCGTCATTTAAGTATGGCTGGAAGACTTCAACTTATTTCTTCTACCATTCCGGGCATTCTAGGATTTTGGACTTCTGCTTTCTGTATTCCAAAGAAGGTCCTAAAAATGATCCAGACTCTGTTATCATCCTTCCTTTGGCATGGAAATCTTGAAAATGTCTCAGCTAAAGTCGCATGGGATTCTCTGTGCTTCCCTAAAAATGAAGGAGGTCTAGGCATCAGGGGCCTATCTTCTTGGAACACAATTTTTGGCATCAAGTTGATCTGGATGCTCTACTTCCGAGCCGGCTCTATTTGGGTTGCATGGGTTAGGGACAAATACCTATCATCAGGTTCTTTCTGGTCTCTTAACTCGCGAAACTATTCCATTGCATGGACTTTTCGAAGGCTTTTAAAGCTTAGGCATGTAGCTCTGTCTTTTCTTCGTATCATGGTGCGGGGAGGAGAAGAAACTTTCTTCTGGTTCGACCCTTGGACGCCTTTTGGTGTTTTAATTGATTACTTGGGACCATCTGGTCCGGCTGATTTGGGTATCCCTCTAGACTCACTGGTTTCTTCAATCACGCATGAGTTTTCGTGGACTTTACGTCCAGCTAGGTCTGAGAGACAGGTTAATCTCCATGTTTATCTCACCACTTTTTCTCCTTCTTCTGGGCCAGATGCTGCAATATGGAAAGTTGGAGACCGTATCTGCACTAATTTCTCTGCCAAGGTAATTTGGCAATCGATAAGGCTGGTTAAGCCTCAGGTTTTTTGGGCTAAATTCATCTGGAACCAAGCTATTATACCTAAGCATATGATTACTTCTTGGTTGTTCATTCTGAACCGTAACCCCACGATGGACCGCTTAGTATCTTGGGGATATGATCTGGAGAATTGCTGTCTCCTCTGTGGAAGTGCTCCTGAATCAAGGGACCATTTGTTTTTTCTCTGTCCTTTCTCCTCTCTTGTCTGGAAAGCCGCTATTGGTGTACTTGGTTACACTACTCCTCCTGTTCAGTGGCAACTTGTGCTTCAATGGTTATCTTCTGTTTCCACTTCCCATGCTCATTTGGCGGCTGTGCTTCAGCTATGGAATGGGTCCATTTATGCTATTTGGCAAGAGCGTAATGCTCGCTACCATAATGGTCTTACACGATCTCACTGGATGTTGTCTCAAAAAGTCATCAAACAAGCTAAGGAAAAATCTATGGCTATGCGTAGCTCTGGATCAGAATTTGGTGCGAGTTTGGCGGCGCTTTGGTCTACAGTTTAAAGGGGTAGCCTCTCAAGCTACACAACCTCCACTTCCATGGCTTAAACACCATTGTGACCTTCCCTCTTTTCTCTTTTTAATTCCTTTGTTCATGTTTTTATTTGCAGTTTGTTCTTTTGTTTCCTCCTCTGTAAACTTTTTATCTTTTTTATTTTAATATGAAAGCCAGTTAAAAAAAAAAAAAAANGTCTACAGTTTAAAGGGGTAGCCTCTCAAGCTACACAACCTCCACTTCCATGGCTTAAACACCATTGTGACCTTCCCTCTTTTCTCTTTTTAATTCCTTTGTTCATGTTTTTATTTGCAGTTTGTTCTTTTGTTTCCTCCTCTGTAAACTTTTTATCTTTTTTATTTTAATATGAAAGCCAGTTAAAAAAAAAAAAAAAAAGATGGCAAAATTAAATAAGTGTACTACAAAAGGCCCCACGAAGAATTCAGAATCAACGTTGGTTGTTGCTGTCACGTGGGGAAGTTAAGGTTCCTCTGCCACTTAAATTTCTGTTTTGTCTATTTCAAAGTTAATTTTTATATGAACGTATGTCTATGCCAAACGTGAGTAACTACATTGTTCAATCTTATATGAACGTAGTTTTATATTCAGGTCTTCAATACTATTAGTCAAAAAAACATTCCAAACTATGGTAAGCTCTATGACGAAAAATCTACGTTGTAACACTAATTGCGTTACTTTTGGAACTTTAACGAATCATCTATATAATATAAACTTCATGCATTACCGTTGTCAACAAAAATAGACCCACAAACTTGTAAACATAAAGTTCATGGTGGAAGAAGGATTAGTGGTGAAAGAGACAAACATCATCCTATCTATACTATTATTTAAGAAGTAAATTTGCTTAGTTGTCATGTTCTCCATAAGTTTAGGTGATTTTGTTTATTTATGATATTCTTAATATTTATATATACTTTATTTATAAATAAAACGAATTTATATGAATATATCATATTTTTAGTAAATAAGATAATTCTTGTGAATTATGTTGTTATCTTGAAATATAATTTTATATATAAAACTTAAATTTTAAATTAAGATATAAACACTATTATATTTATCTAAAAAATTTTATATTAATAATTTAATATTTAAATATAACTAAAACAAATTTATATTAATAATTTAATATTTTCTAAAATAAGAGAATCATTATGGATTATGTTGTTATGTTGAAAATATATTTTCCTATTCTAAAACTTAAAATTAAGATATATTTAGTTATGATTTAATTAAGATATATTTAATTTTTATATCTAAAACTTAAATTAGTTATTTTATTAAGATATATTTAATTTTTATATATAAAACTTAAATTTTAAATTAAGATATAAACACTATTATATTTATTTAAAACGAAATTATATTAATAATTTAATATTTTCTAAAATAAGAGAACCATTATGGATTATGTTGTTATGTTGAAAATATATTTTTCTATTCTAAAACTTAAAATTAAGATATATTTAGTTATGATTTAATTAAAATATATTTAATTTTTATATCTAAAACTTAAATTAGTTATTTAATTAAGATATATTTAATTTTTATATATAAAACTTAAATGTTATCAATTAAGATATAAACACTATAATATTTATCTAAAACGAATTTATATTAATAATTTAATGTATAAATATAACGAAAACGAATTTATATTAATAATTTAATATTTTTCTAAAATAAGATAATCATTATGGATTATGTTGTTATGTGAAAATATATTTTCTTATTATAAAACTTAAAATTAAGATATATTTAGTTATGATTTATATTTAATTAAGATATCTTTAATTTTTATATATAAAACTGAAATTTTAAATTAAGATATAAACACTAATATATTTATCTAAAACGAATTTATATTAATAATTTAATATTTAAATATAACTAAAACGAATTTATATTAATAATTTAATATTTTTTAATATAAGATAATCATTATGGATTATGTTGTTATGTTGAAAAAATATATGTTTCTATTATAAAACTTAAAATTAAGATATAAAAATTATATTATTAATAATTAAATATAAATCATAATTAAATATAAATCATTAAAATAATTATTTGAAAAGTGAATTTGTTGATTTGACTCCATGATCCTAGATAATTTTAATCATTTATCAGAATTTGTATAATTTTGTTTATTATTGATTATATAATTAAAATTGATTTATATTAATAAATATTCATACGAGAATTATGCCCGCAAGTGCGGGCAAAACACCTAGTATATTTAAAAGTGAAAGAGACAACATCATCCTTAGGTTATATCCCCTATATATTAATTGAGAAACATTTGAAAAGATGTAACCTCAAGTTTGTATTAATTAAAAAGTAACCTTGCTTAGTTGTCAATCAATTAGCATACCAATTAAACTGACGTGGCAGCTTTAGATTCAATTGAAATTTGCTAGGGAAAAATAATTAGAGACGCATATAACGCATGTAACATAGTTTATATATTTATATATATCGCACGCATGTAATGGAAGAAAAGGAAAATATACGATTTGATAACGATTTGCATATATTAACTATAATAGCTTCATTCCTTTTAATTTATGGAAGTGTATATGTAAAATGGAAATTACTTTGTGACCAAGTACATACTTAATGGTAAAGGCAAGTGTATATGTAAAATGTAAAACTTAATATGTTAACTTGGGAATTTATGTTAAAATTGATATATGCAAATCGTAAATATTAATAGTAATTATGGAAGACCTCTTACTTATTAATACTATTACCTAATATTTCATTCGACGTAATAAGGCACAAGAAAAAATTTCTTTAAAAAATGACGACCATCAGTTCTGTTCTCGACTTGAAACCTTTCAAAAAGAACTGGAAGATCAAGGTTAAAGTTATTCGATTGTGGAAACATAATGCAGGCGCTTGTGGTAAAACCATAGAGATGGTTCTATGCGATATTAAGGTAGTTTGTTCAGAAGTTAATATGTTTTATGTAATATTATATCAATTATTTTGTTCACTAATAGCTTTACCGTTTTTAATAATAAAACAAATATATATATATATATATATATATATATATATATATAACATTTGAAAAGATGTAACCTCAAGTTTGTATTAATTAAAAAGTAACCTTGCTTAGTTGTCAATCAATTAGCATACCAATTAAACTGACGTGGCAGCTTTAGGTTCAATTGAAATTTGCTAGGGAAAAATAATTAGAGACGCATATAACGCATGTAACATAGTTTATATATTTATATATATCGCACGCATGTAATGGANTAACCTTGCTTAGTTGTCAATCAATTAGCATACCAATTAAACTGACGTGGCAGCTTTAGGTTCAATTGAAATTTGCTAGGGAAAAATAATTAGAGACGCATATAACGCATGTAACATAGTTTATATATTTATATATATCGCACGCATGTAATGGAAGAAAAGGAAAATATACGATTTGATAACGATTTGCATATATTAATTATAATAGCTTCATTCCTTTTAATTTATGGAAGTGTATATGTAAAATGGAAATTACTTTGTGACCAAGTACATACTTAATGGTAAAGGCAAGTGTATATGTAAAATGTAAAACTTAATATGTTAACTTGGGAATTTATGTTAAAATTGATATATGCAAATCGTAAATATTAATAGTAATTATGGAAGACCTCTTACTTATTAATACTATCACCTAATATTTCATTCGACGTAATAAGGCACAAGAAAAAACTTCTTTAAAAAATGACGACCATCAGTTCTGTTCTCGACTTGAAACCTTTCAAAAGGAACTGGAAAATCAAGGTTAAAGTTATTCGATTGTGGAAACATAATGCAGGCGCTTGTGGTAAAACCATAGAGATGGTTCTATGCGATATTAAGGTAGTTTGTTCAGAAGTTAATATGTTTTATGTAATATTATATCAATTATTTTGTTCACTAATAGCTTTACCGTTTTTAATAATAAAACAAATATATATATATATATATATATATATATATATATATATATATATACAGATTAAACTATATACCATATAAGATTACATAAATATTATAATTTCAAAATTTTCAATAAATTTACAAGAACATTTATAAATTATAAACTTATTAAATTTTCACATTGAAATTTTTTGTTATCAATGATTTAAATATCTTAGTTCTTTTTTAATTTTATATTTTTAAAAGATATTAACAATCGATAATATGATTATTTTTGGTATATACCATACAAACCGAATGGATGTGATTTTATAAAAACCATAGGATTTGGATATGGTTTGATTTATAATCGATTAAACTGAAACATGTAAATATGTATATATTTATAACGACGCATGAATATCTATTTGTTACATGAGTTGAACTATAATTATAATTTGTAAATAGCTAACAATTTATTACAACTA